CTGAGACATCACCCTCACACTCACACTAAGACAACCGGTGCCCTGTGTGTGTGTGTGTGTGTGTGTGTATGTATGTATGTATGTATGTATGTATGTATGTATGTATGTGTGTGTGTGTGTGTGTGTGTGTGTGTGTGTGTGTGTGTGTGTGTGTGTGTGTGTATGTATGTATGTGTGTGTGTGTCACTCAATCGGTGAGTTTGAAGATATTAGCCTGGCTATGCTCTTCAGTACATGATGAGTAAACTGTTGGGGCCGTGGAGCTGCTTGTTACGAGCTGTGTGATGACAGCTACGGTGGATATAAAAATTCTACATACCCGTGTCCAAATGCCAGGTTTCTGTGAAATAAAAAGTAGACCATGATAAATGTTTTTTTCTGAACAACCCAAGCGTGTGCACATGGGGATGTTGTGTTTTTTAAAATTAACTAATCAACATTCAAATGCAAAATAAATGGGAGTCTACAGACATCTGCGACCATTTAAAGTGTCTCTGATTGGTTTGGATAGCCTTCTGCTAGAGAGCCAAAAATGTCAGGAAAAGCCCACTACAGCATCTAGACTTTAGTTGGGGTAAATCACAGGCGCTTAAAACGGTGATAGTTTTGTGCTGACTCCCACTTGAGATTGTTTAATTCTGAACAGAGCACACTTGTGGAAACACGTGCTGAACTCAGCTCCATCTAAAATATTTCTCAGACTAAAAGTCACATTAATGGGGGGAAAAAGGTTTGAAATGATCTATCTTGGAGTCTTTTTTTTTTGTATGTTAGGTTGTTGTTTTTTACAAAAACCTGGCATTTTAACAAGGGTGTGTAGACTTTTTCTATCTACTGTAGTAAGTTTCAGGGGGGTTTAAGAACCTACTTAAAGTTTTCTGGAGGCGCAGGACATAGGAAATGTTGGAAAAAGATTTGCGTGAGTGCATGCGCGTACGTGATAGTGTCAGTGTGTCAAATCAATGACGCTCCGCTTGGTCCACACGGAGATGCTCGTCACAGCAGCAGAAACCGAATGAGCCACTATGATGGACACAAAAGTCCCACAGAGAATGAGATCACACAGAAGTTGACTTTGCTGGAAGATGCGCGCAACCGATACTCACAGCATTGATGCCTCTGTCTTTCAGTTCGCAGCTGTTCTCTGATTCATACAGCGCTGAGGAGAGAAGCAGCAGGAAATGACTTCTCACATAGTTGTCAACCCTCTTGAAATGTCTGCCCGCCTCGCAGAGGTTTCGTGGAAAAAGTTCAATGAGCTTGGATAAAAGCCCCCAATAATTTTACATACACTTGCAAAAGTGAAATATTGGCTTTTGTTTGTTTGTTTTTTTTGGAAACTGACTGATGACTGGGAACCATCTCATGATTCTCCTTATTGCTGTTCCCTTTAAAGAATTTTTAATACTAATGTAATCAATGTTTAATGGTTGTGCTACACTGTAATGCGATGGTTTAATTTAAATGAAATCAATTTGACACGTTTTCTTTTTTTAAAAAATGGTCTGTGTCTTACAAAATCTGCCAAGGTGTGCAAACTTATGAGCAGATCTGTACATAATTAATGCCCACAAAAGGAGTTTGGATTAATTCAAATTATGTTGCCACAGATAAAGGTCTGGAGTGGATAGAGGATTTTCTTTTTTTAATGTACCGGTAATTATAAATTTCACCAAGTAAGTAAAAATGTCATCACACAAGTGTTTTAATATACCACTATGTATGGGGTATTGCTTCACAAATGATACAATGTACAGTGTACACACTACAGCTTTACGCCATGAAAAACACGATTGCTAATTTTTTCTTTGTTTTAGGAAAATGTTCAAAAATAGGTATGTTACCAAAAAGCTTGCGCAGTCGGGTGACGCCGGCCACAAAGTTGTGGAAGGGCAGGTGAAGGTCTCCAGATGAGAAGCGCTCATACAGCAGCTGGACTACTTTCGCATCACACTTCATCCCTGACAGAGAGAGCAGAATTGCAGCTGTACATACTCTATAACTGTGTGTGTGTGTGTGTGTGTGTGTGTGTGTGTGTGTGTGTGTGTGTGTGTGTGTGTGTGCGTGCACGCATACCCACGGCTTGCAGAGCGGCACTGAGTTCAAAAGGACTCATGGTGCCAGAAGAGTCCTCATCAAATTGGAAAAAGATAGCCTAAAAAGAGAAACAGGGTTCTTAATTACGTTTCGTATTTATTTCATGTACAATATTATATCAAAACAGTACAAAATGGTCTTAATTGCATAGTTCCAAAATGGAAGCAATAAATCAGTCCTTACAGGTTTTCAAGGTGTTTGTGCGCTCGAGAACAATTCTCCATTCATGCCCCTCAGTAATTAAAATTCTTAATAGCAAAAATAAATCCGAAGTACATATATTCAAAATTTTGATCAGGAAACCTGGTAAAAAAAAATGCAGGTATTAGTAGTTAGTTTGTTGCCATAATTACAGTAATCATCTGATTATTGCATGTTTTTTTCTGAGATGCCAACATTTATTGATGCTTTTAAATTAGCCTTTACTCTCTCTTTACTTAACTGTTGTTGACATAATTTTAAGCTAATATCAGCTATTTTCAGTCATTTTGAATCTACTGTCAATGGTGGTTCTAAGTGTAGTGGTAAATATTGAAACTGAAATGAGGACAAGTGCTTTAGAAAATGCATGGATAGTTAAGCGGAGGAGGGTTGGGGGAATGGCAGTACAGTACTGTAAGTGAGCTCTTTAAATTTCAGTGCAGTGAAACGTGTTGGTGCAAACTGCTGTTGGTGCAGTTACCACCCCCTGCAGGACTGGAGTGCAACAACATGTTTCAATCAAATGTGTCAGACACACACAAAGCGGTTGTTACCTGCAAGTGGCGTAGATCAGACAGCAAGGCCTCTGTTTGCTGACGGTTGAGGCTGGCTCGTCCTTTGATCTTATCAGCACTTTTAAGAATGTTTCAATGGGAGAAAGGAGGACAAATGAGGGCAAAAATGTGACTGAAAAGGTCTGCCTATCGCATTGCTCCTACGATTGCCACAGGGTGTACAAAGTTAGCTGGCACAGGCTGCAGCTCACCCTAATGAGAAGTGCCGGTGATAAAAATGGGGTGATGTGATGGTTGAAGGTTCAAGAAGAACCGAGAAGACTCGGGCTGAATGTGGGTGGATGGCAGAGCGTGGTGCACACACTCCCTGCGTCATAGCTTGCCTCCATCACGGAGTAGATAGACGGTTGCCAGGGGAAAGAGTGTGTCCTCCCATAGCCGTGAACGGCTGATGTTGTGTGACTAAAGTGGCTATTAATAGCGTATATACAAAGGACGTTTGCTGGTGTGTGTCGGCCACCATGAACGGCACTCGCGTGGCGTTCAGGGCCAAAACGCTAACCGTAAAAGTAATTTGCAACTTGGACTAAGCAGGATTAAGCAGCATCACTGGGTGAAAAGGATACATCCTCTCCAAAAATGAGCTGCCTGCATGTGTCCAGCGGCAGGTGATAATCTTTGTCCAGGACTGACATTGAGGAGGGGAAAAAAAAAAGACAAGAAAGAGGAGAAAACAAAATCACCAGTGCAGGATGACTTGAGGATAAGGGCAAGTCTGGCCACTGTTATGACTCTGAAAGTAATCTTCAATGATGCCAGATCCTGCCTGATTTAGACCCCTCCCTACTCCAAGACACCTGATTGAAATGATCAGCTCATCAGCAAGCTCTGTCGAGGCCTGAAATGATCATGAACAATTGAGGCAGGTGTGTTGGAGTTGGGAGGGATCTAAAACAGGCAGGATACGGCTTTCAAAGAACCGGAGTTCCCTAACCCTGAGTTACGCCACTGATAAGCTTCGTCTAGACCAGTGGTTCTTAACCTTCGATCGAACCCCAGGGGCTCCTTGAATCGGTCTCAGGGGTTCCACGGAGCCTCTGCCATGGAGGTTAAGACACACCCGACTCAACCTGTCAATTAGTTATGACACGCCCGCTTGGCCATCACTGGCTGCAGATGATCACATGACATTGCTTGTCCAATCAGTGCTGCTCAGTAGTCACCGTGTGACTGTCATGGTAGTACGACATACAATTTAAAAAAAAAAAAAACTAAGGCCATGTAATTTTATTTACTTTTTTTCTGTTTTTAATAAATGTGTGTGCTTTTTTAATGTCTTGAATTTGTCAAAAAAATCTAATTTTTATTTTTCACTGATGAAGGGTTCGGTGAACGTGCATATGAACTGGTTGGGTTCGGTACCTCTAACAAGGTTAAGAACCACTGCTCTAGACTGGTGACCTCTGTCATTTCTCTGAGACTTAAGCACTACATCGCCACCTAGTGGTGACCGAGGTTGTACCGGATGGCAGCAAAATCGCAAAAGTCACCTGCGTTGAAAAGCGTCATCAGCTCCCTGGGGTTCAGCCTGTTGTCCTACGTGACAAAAACAGTATTATTAGTCTAAAAGGGCATTTTCTTAAGGTAAGACAGTATATGGTAGCATACTAAGAGGGGTCATATTTTGGAAATCTTGTTTTTATTATTTGTACACCAAAAATTCTCTTTTCTCTTGTTTGTGTGCCTGCCAAGGGCGCACAAAGGGTCAGGGGGAACCCGCTGCCCCATCCCCGCCCCCCCCCCAACAAAATAAATGGATAAACATCCAATAAAATATATCTTGACACACCAGACACGTGTGTATCAATCAGTATCAAAGCCCATGGGTAAGCAGAGCTGCAGTGATAGCCAGCTCCATTGCATCAGACAGTGCAAGAATTTTGCTGAATAAAGTTTGATGTCATTCTTGATCCTTGGGGTATGTCAGACATGTTAAGACAGCTGATATACTGTATCTTTTTTTTTTTTTTTTTTGTCAGTAATGAAATGCATATGTCTGGCATCTAATCGTTACTTACTGGTCCAGCCTCTTCATCAAAAGTCCTCAGAACTCTCATTTTATCCTCCGGTGCAACAGGAGCGGCCATCACCTATTTGACAGATACCATTAGTCTGTTCCACGCACCACTACACTATATATACAATATGAAGGAAAGAGTTTCTCACTGGGAGATAAGTTGAAGTGCATGTGAAATCCGGAGTCCTGAAAGGTAACACAATATCGGGTCATCAATAATGTCTGTGTAGATTCTTAGCCAACCAAGTCATGGTCATCCCCAAAGGTTGAATTGAGGCAACTGAACTCTTCTTCAGTCGTATCCGCTCTCTAATAATAAGCCACAATATTAGACATTATATTTTCAAAGAGACGATTCTGTCTTTCCAAAGATGATTATGGTGTAGCTTGCAGTGGCATTGAACAGTTATTTAGCGACATGAGAGGCAAAGCACGGTATTCGAACTAGCTCCCTGTATGATGCAGTGCTGTCCTTCACCGCTACTAACTCCCAGCGTACAATTTAAAGGAAACATCTCGTGCATTGTTTACACAATTTAAAAAGAAAAAACTTCCCAGGGGCCAAAGCCCCGCAGTAATGAAAAGCACAAAAAGAAGCAAGTACCGCATGGACTGTATTTTAACGCATTGAGGCTTCAATACCAAGCCAGCAAATTATAATTTTGAATTTGGTCTGTGAGTCAGTGTGACACTTTTTTTCCCCCCCATAAGTATTTCTGCTGAAATTAACACCTCTCTGACAGTGTCAGTCAAAAGTGAGAATTATTATCAACTTTTGATGCAATTTCTATTTTCCAACTTTCAGCTTTCTCGCTCTCACCCCAAACTGTTGGCAGTCTTGGAGAAGATGCGGACAAAAAACTCTCCGGGCTGGTTGGGCCGATAGGTGGATGCCACAAGGACGTAATAACCCGGGTCCAGGTGCACTTTTCTCCACACAGCCCTGCGGGACATTGACAGGTGCTGTAAATATGCGTCCTCTGCCTGATCAAGGCAATGAAATAAATGTTTAGATACTGCTTTTTACACAGTTGAAATGAAAAGAGTGAATTTCGAGCACTTGCTTGCAGGGTTTTTTTTTTCCAAGCATGGTGGTTCACATTTGAGGTAGGAATACAGTATAGCCTTTTATAAGACAAGGGACCTTATTATATTCCGTACCTCCGTCCATCTAGTGGAAGAACATTTAATAGTTCTGCCTGTGAGTTTTTTTTTTGTTTTTTTTTACTGGCGTACATAGTTGAAGAAAATACACATTCTTTGTAGTAAATAACACATGGTCGGACCAATTATGTGAAATGGGATAGCACATGGCATACTTGCACTCCTGCTGGGTCAAAAGTAACCCAAATTGGGTGAAATTGCTAACCCAATGCTAGGTCCAAAGGGGACCCAGCCAATGCTGGGTTATTGATAGCCAGCGCATCAGGTTGAGGGTTTGACCCAGCATGTTGGGTCAAGAGTTTATGCCAACAAGGGCTGAAAACTACCAAGAAATGGTTTACCATCTTATCCATCTAGCTGTGGTTACAAACGCCACTGATTTTATTACCAACATTTTCTGAAAGAAGCGACTTTAACCTGTCAGGTGTCGCCACAGCAAGCATGATACATTTGGCGCAATACATATTTCCTGCTACAACCCACCCATTTTCCTTGGGTGGACTGTCAGCCCGGACCTGGATTTGAACCTCAAACCCAAGGCCCAAAGTCACTCTTTTTACAGACTGAGCCATGCATCCACCACCACTGTTGTCTTAGAAAGTTACAAAACTGTCAACGGCGACCACTCTTAGCACTTCAACCTGCACAAATCCAATCCTCAACCCAATCTGATGGAGAAAAATAATTAACCCAACCTTGGGTAAAATTAACTTAATCTACTCCAAATCCTTAGCTCCCCAGCCAGCGAGAGCGTTAGGAAAATAACCCAGCATTCATTTTTTTTTTTTTTGGGACAATGTGATGGTCTTTCAAAGTATTTCAACATGTAAACCTTTTACCTTTGAGCCCTATATTTCCCTGAACGACCAACTGGACGATTTTTCATGAAGAAGTTACGGTCCAGACACATGCCCTGAAGCTGTATGGAATGATAAATCGAATTAAATTATATCATGCCAACCAATGGGGGGAGAAAAAAAAAAGTTCATTCTTTGGCAACCAACCTCCAAGGGAACCTGAAAAACAAAACAAAAAAAAAAAGAAAAGTGTAAGTTTCCCAAATGAAAGTCGGATGCCGGCATGTTCTTTCGAAAGGACGTGACGGAGGACCTTGTAGATGTGGAAGCCCATGTAGAGGAAGTGGACACTGTTCTTGCACCTGCGGTCTTTCTGCAGGATTTCCACCAGCACCGTGCACTTTTTGCCTTTCATCTTCTGCTTCTCGGTCTTCTTGCCCTCGTTGGGGCCGCTCTCCTCATCCTCATCGCCATCTTCCTCGTCCTCCTCATCTTCCTCATCCGGCTGGTCCTGCTCGGTGAGAACCAGCTCAAATTGAGGGTTCTTCCAAAAGGAGCCTGAGGAGAATCAAGTGATGACAAGAGAAACGTGTGATGGTTGAAAGCTTCATCCATAAAAAAAAAAAAATAAATAAAATAAACTACGAGACCACTGCAAAATGATCAGATTTTTCAATTTGCAGTATAGGTATATATTACAGAAAAATGCCCCCCCCCCCACCGACCCCCTGATTTAAAGCATTTATTTAAAGGCGGAAAAATGGTCCAAAGTTTGGCAAATGTTGAAGAACGTATCTAAAAACAGCCTTTACGTGATTTATCGCCACTTTTAGGTAGTTTATTGCCAAACTAAACATAAAACAAAGAGAATTAATTGTATAGTTAGCTTTAAGAGTCATTTTAGCTGAACAAACAATGCAAAACGCCTTAGATAGGCTAATGAATAGCATCGAGTCACTGTGTTATAACCTGTTTAAACACAAATGGTGGAGCAGCACTTGCAGACCTACAATGTAACAATACTCACATGCTGATATTCATTCTCCTTGGTGAAAAAATTTTCACTAACTAGTACGGAACTAATATTATATCACCTTACTGTGTCATTTGTAAAACACTTCTTTGGGTGTGTATCTCATTTTCTGTATTATTAATAGCCCCAGGAGGCGAAGGTGCGCAGACCAAAAGGAGCAGCACAATGTCCAATGAATAGAAGCAAAAACTGTTCAATGATTTACAATTAAGTATGAAGTGATTGTAGGTTTTTATAAACTGCAAATTGATAGAGTGCGATTTTTATGTTAAAAAAAACAAACAGAGGCTGGAATGGACTAGTAGCATGTCCATTCATTTCAAAGGGGAAAAACAAATTAAGACATGTGTTTTGAGTGACGAGGTGGTCACGCAGCAAATTAATCTTGTTTCTCAAAACACCATTGTACCCAAAAGTGTCAAGGTGTTTTTTTAGTGTGTGTTTTGAACATATAAACAGTTGTTAGAATACCCATGAGGAATGGTGAAACTCAGATAGTCACTAAATAAAAAGAAATAATAAAACATTAAGAAAAAAAAAAATATATATATATATATATATGTATTTTTTTTTTTCCAGAGCTGTACACTTGACATAGAGTTCATACGGTTGTATTTTCGGCTTCCGCCGGCAGAGCTCCCTTTCAGCCACAACCCTTCATGCTCGTTGATGGTCCATTTGGAAGTGGAGGTGGTGGGGCTAAGGGCCTCAGTAGTTTTTCCCTCCACAAGGCTGTCAGGATTGATACTGCAGAGCTCCACAAAATCAAACTTCTTGCAAAAATCATCAGTGCTCATCCTGTTCCGGATCACACAAAAGAGAGGGTGTTGAAATTCCAGCAAGTGGATCAAGAATAAAGTGTTTCTTTTGGTTTCTCGTGCTCACCAGAACTCTCCATCCTCCCGACGTTTCATTTCAAGTCTCTCTTTCTCTTCTTTGGATATGGCATCCCATTCTTTGCTCCTGCAGACGCACACGAGGAGACAAGCTCGACGTGTAGTCAGATGACATGCAAACGTACACACATAAACTAGGACGAAACGATTGTGAAAAATAATCTAATTGCAACCCCGCCCCCATTAATATTGCGATTGCGATTTAAGATACAACCATTTTTTTCAAGGTACTCTTCCCATGTATTTTTCAACAAACACAAGCAATAAATTAATCCGTATGACAATAAACAATATCACATTTATTACGAAACGATTGTGAAAAATAATCTAATTGCAACCCCGCCCCCATTAATATTGCGATTGCGATTTAAGATACAACCATTTTTTTCAAGGTACTCTCCCCATGTATTTTTCAACAAACACAAGCAATCAATTAATCCGTATGACAATAAACAATATCGCATTTATGAAACATAGATGGTTATTTTAGGTGAGCCTTACGCTAAAATAAAGGTACATGAACCCTCAATTTATCCATTTATATGAAAGACAGTTTATTTAAACTCGTTGACTTGCAGTCTAAAGTCTTCACTCTGACAACATCCGCAAAATGTGGCCGAACAAATGTGGCTTGAAAATAATTCAGCGAATCATAAACTGGGTCATAACAATAATAGAAGCGTTATTACTTTTTATATTTCATGAAACACATATATGGAAACATTTGGACTGCGCTTTCTTAGCACTTATCAAGACACGAAATAAATAAATATTGTATACATATTGTCGATGTTAAAAAAAATAAATAAATAAATAAAAAGTGACCCAAATACTGTAAAGGTTTTTGAAAATCACATTCTACATAAACTGGGTCATAACAATAATAGAAGCGTTATTGCTTTTTATATTTCATGAAACAAAAATATGGAAACATTTGGACAGCACTTTCTTAGCACTTATCTAGACATGAAATAAATAAATATACAGATTGTCCATATAAAACAAAAATTGACCCAAATACTGTGTAAAGGTTTTTGAAAATCACATTCTCCTGCAATGCAATATCAATTTGAATTTGATTTTAATTTGAACTCAATCACAACACACACACACTGTGTGTTCTCACTTGTCACTCCAGGGCCCACGGTACTCAACAAAGCCCCACGGATTCCTCACCCTAAGGAGCAAAATCTCATCCCCCTCATGCCTCACCTGAAAACAACAAGAATAAGAATAAGAAAACCTTTATTCGTCTCACAATGGAGAAATTCCCAATTTACAGCAGCAAAGTTATGAAAGGAAGAAAGTAGAAGAACAAAAAGTACAGGAGCTGCTGTAAAGGCAGCCACTCTCGCGGCGCCATCTTGAAGTCATCATAACACAATAACAAAATAATACAAGACATCAGACACTGACAGTCATTCAATCTGAACCACTTTTCTGCATACTCTTTGTCGTTAGAAGCAGTTATAGATGAAAGAGGAGAGGATGGATGTTTCTACGCTGTCGTCATATCATATTTTTGGGGTGAGGGAAAGTTTACACGTTTACACAGAGATTGTTATTTGCAGTCAGACTCTGTGGCGAGATGGTCAAATTTGAAAGTCCCGATGAGCTCAAATGAGATGACGGGACGATAAAATGATGTGACATTGTCAGATGAGGTGATAAAATTGTGACGTTATTTGACAAAATGAGTTTATGAAATGAATAAATGAATGAAAACATGATGAGACGTGATGAATGAGAATATGAGGCAAGCGGGGAACATTTTAAGATGATGATAAGAGGAGATCATATGATATCATAAAGTGATAGAATTATCAAATGAAAAAATATGAAATTTGTTCAAATGAAATTAGGATATGAGATTGTGAATAAAATAATGAGGTGTGATGTTGAAATTAAATCAAATGCGGTTATGAGAAGAATAAAATGTAAGTGGAAGAGATGTAATAAAATGAGGTTATGGAATGGTTACGTTTTAAGTGATAAGATGTCATAATATGACGTTATCATGTGAGAAATGATAACATGTTGAAAAAATATAATAAATGAGACGCGATGTTGAAACAAAATAAAATGAGGTTATGAGATGATTCAACTGTAAAATGATAAAATGTAATATAAAGTGGGTATTTTGTGAGATTTTAAAATGATAATCTGTTCAAATGAGATTATCAGATGAGATGGTTAGGTTATAAAATGATGACTTGCAAGGTGGAAATGAAATGAGAATATGAGATGATCTAAAATGATGTTATGTGGTGAGTGCATTATAAAATATAAAAAAAATATTTCACAACATGAGATGCTAAAATGATCATTTTATGGGATGGGGCAGATTGCATGTGTTAAGAACCTGGGTATAAACTTTCCTGGTCGGTGTCGGTGATGGCGTAGGCGTGGCCCTTTATCAGCCCGTCTGCATTTATTTTATTCACTTCCTTGTAGTTTTTGGCCTGTGGAAACAAAAAACAAAGGCCAAAAATCCTTGGCCTGCCATGCGTGCAAACTTGCATGTCACGACATCTCCTCTGTACAAAACCTCAATAAAGCAGCTGAGCAGACTGCCACGGGCGAGGGCGGCCGTCAGTAACCTCCAGAAGACGCGAGGGGTGTGCGAGGAGACGGGCAGGGAGTACGCGATGCCACCCGTGAAATCTTCCATCCCCTCCGAAATGTTGCCGCCCCTCAGACACCCGTACGATCCCATTAACCTGCCAGCGTGCGGGAAAAGCAACGATGAAAAAGGCGGGGCCGCGTCAGACTTGACACCGCCGGCATATGCTCGGAAGCGGCGCCACTGACTTGGCGTAGGCCTTCTCCACCAGGGCGCTCCAGTACTCGTTGCGGGTGTGAGAGTAGCTGAATAGCAGGCGGCCTTCTCGCACTGGCAGCCTGTCATCCACAACCACCTCCACCCACTCGCCATACTGCCAGAACTGGACGGAACACGGGGGACAGACAACAGCCATCGATTAGATGAATCACGCAGGAAGTGGTGTCAAAAGACATCAAACTCTTGTTACCAAATGCAAAGCAAGACACCCCGTAGACACGGGTTTAACCCATTAATCTGCATTATCACGCAGGAAGTGGTGTCAAAAGACATCAAACTCCAAATTGAAAGCAAGACACCATTAATCTGCATCTTGATTTCGTCTCAAAACAAAGTCAAATTGCACAAGGCTGACAGGGAAAGATGGGCTGTTAAATGAGTGAAGTGATAAAATGCACAGTTCTCTTGTCCTTTTAAAGGCAGCCCTTTCCAGGTGGTTGTGACGCAGGGTGTGTTCTCGACAGGCCTGCAGATGTAAGTGTGTGTGTGTGTGTGTGTTCCAGTGGGTATTCACTGCCTGCACGCTCTCAAATCACCATGACAGGGCAAAATGAGTTTACAGTCCCTACGTCCTGCAAGTTGAGTCATGTCGCATTCTTGTTAGGAGTCTCCAAAGGGAGCTCTGGCCCCCGGGGAAAACACACCGAACAGCTCATACCGCTAAATTCTTCAATAATCTTCCATAAGAATATGAACGTGCCTCGTCTTCGAGCAGTAAGTTGCCCCTCATTGAATGCATTATTTCTATTTTTTTGAAAGCCATGATGACACGTTTCATACCTATGTGAAGCATGTGAAGGTGTCACGCAAGCTTCAGCTGCAAGCAGTATGAAACTGAAGTGTAGCGCTACTACATTAATTATACAATTCAATGATTGATTATTTGATAGTAGCCCGCCCTCCATAATTGGCACCCCTGATTAAAAGCCCAAAAAGAAATTCCATTTTTTTATTCAATTTTTTCAATTTTAGCACCCTGTGTGGTCGCTCCACTTAATATATTACTCACCCTGAAATGAAAGATGCCAGCATAAGAGTTGGACAGGCTTTGGTTGGGCGGCACCACCTTGACAAAGAGTTTGTGGTGCATGGTGAGACAGGACAGCGCCGCCAGCAGCCAACAGTTACCTGGGGAGACAAACCACGGGTTTTGTGTATCGGCCAACCATGTTGCTGGAAGGCAGCAGGAAATAGTTTCAAACAACTGGCATTCCATGGAGTGCAATTCCCGGTACTGTCAATCCCTGACCACAAACACAAAAATATGTAATAAAGTCACATTCCACTACAATAGAAATCATCTGTTCCGCGTTGTTTTTTGGTCTACATTGTAAATCACCATGACAGGGCAAAATGAGTTTACAGTCCCTACGTCCTGCAAGTTGAGTCATGTCGCATTCTTGTTAGGAGTCTCCAAAGGGAGCTCTGGCCCCCGGGGAAAACACACCGAACAGCTCATACCGCTAAATTCTTCAATAATCTTCCATAAGAATATGAACGTGCCTCGTCTTCGAGCAGTAAGTTGCCCCTCATTGAATGCATTATTTCTATTTTTTTGAAAGCCATGATGACACGTTTCATACCTATGTGAAGCATGTGAAGGTGTCACGCAAGCTTCAGCTGCAAGCAGTATGAAACTGAAGTGTAGCGCTACTACATTAATTATACAATTCAATGATTGATTATTTGATAGTAGCCCGCCCTCCATAATTGGCACCCCTGATTAAAAGCCCAAAAAGAAATTCCATTTTTTTATTCAATTTTTTCAATTTTAGCACCCTGTGTGGTCGCTCCACTTAATATATTACTCACCCTGAAATGAAAGATGCCAGCATAAGAGTTGGACAGGCTTTGGTTGGGCGGCACCACCTTGACAAAGAGTTTGTGGTGCATGGTGAGACAGGACAGCGCCGCCAGCAGCCAACAGTTACCTGGGGAGACAAACCACGGGTTTTGTGTATCGGCCAACCATGTCGCTGGAAGGCAGCAGGAAATAGTTTCAAACAACTGGCATTCCATGGAGTGCAATTCCCGGTACTGTCAATCCCTGACCACAAACACAAAAATATGTAATAAAGTCACATTCCACTACAATAGAAATCATCTGTTCCGCGTTGTTTTTTGGTCTACATTGTGCAAAGTCCCTCACGCGAAGGTTCACCTCTTGCAGACAGTGTTTTCCCATCAAGGAGGCCTCGATCATTCCTTCCATACTCACCTAGCTGACCTTGGCAGATGTCAGTGGTGCCGATGGTGCCCTCCACAAACACGGCATTCTCACTGATGTCCTTCAGGGGTGGACGAAAAGAAGACAACGTGAGGGCAGCGAACACCCAAAGTCATGGAATGTCCCAAGAAAGAAAATTGCGCAACATGTACACTCCCAGGACAATTTTTGTGTGCCTCACAAAATCTAATGTTTGCCATTGTTTTCTAATTGTTATTGTTGACAATTGCAATAAGTCAAATTGGCTGCGATAAACGAATGCTCTGTCGCAGTGGTTCTCAAATATTTACGTCACTTGCCATCTAAAAAAATACTTCGCTCTCCCAGTAGCACCATCATGACTAATATTAAATACAGTAGTGTAGTAGGTGTCAGTGTTCATCAAATTATGCCTAAAAAGTCCAGTATATTTAATATTATTGTTAGCTGATGTAACATTATGCAGTTTGAACACTAACACTGTGCTTAGCTGGCTGAAAAGAAGGGGAAAAACATAAGTAATGGTTCAATTATAGTGTGTTGCACATAAAGGACAAATAAAATGTGTACATAAATGCAAAAAAAAAAACACCTAGTTCATTAGATATTTGAAAGTTACATCCAAGTCAACTGTATTTAAAAGTGCAAAAAAGAACAAGTTGAAACAGTCAGTACAAGTTTCATTCTGAAATATTTAAATGCATTTCGTGTTTGAAATGCTGTAAATCTTATTTTCATACCACGAGAGATAGGCTGCATACCACACTGTGAGAATCACTTAGATGAATCAATGCAATCAATTTGTTATGCTGGACGCACTGGAATAAGAACTGGTCAAATCTGTCTGGTCTACCTTTGGTCTCTTCCACTTGATGGCCTTCCTGGGGTCGTCATCCTCTGCCATACCGATAGACTTCTGCTCGGCTGGAAAGCTCTGATCAGAGAACATCTCGCCGGACTTGAGACACTTCTCCAGGAGACTGTTAAAGTCCTGATCCTTAAATTTAATAGGGTTGCGGAAAGAACCTAAAGAAGCCTCCATGCTGTCAATGGCTGTCAGTCAAGTAAACAAACACTTGAATCCGCTGGGGGTGATTTCAACACAGAGCCCACAGCCTGAAAGAGAAGAAAAAGAGGAAGCTCCGGCAACGGCATGCACACAGCTCGGGAAGATATGCGGATTGCCCGGAGCGGGGGCGTGGGTCGTGGAGCTGGGCGTGGAGCTGGAGTCAGTCATGACAACATTTTTTGGATCCTGATCATTTAAGATCCAGCAGCATTGTTTGTCACTTCAGACAGAAACAAATGGGCACTCGTAAGTCCAAGTCAGGGGAAGGTTTTCGAGTACCTCGACCGACAAACTACCTTTTCGACTATTTTCTTTATTTACAATATGTATTTACAATTTATGTGACATTTTCAGTCTTCACTGTATTTTCTTTTTGTCAATTGTATTTTGAGTTTAGGAAGCCAGGTTGTCAGTTACCTCTACTGGGCACTAGATGGCAGTATAGTCCAACTGCACTTGTCTTGAGGCTTGCTAACTGGTCCGAGCATGTCAATGATGAAGGTCATAAAACAATGAATGGAACAATATGTGGAGAATATTTAACCTTTGAATACGCCAACTAAAAGCTCAATTTGGAGCTCCCATTGCTTCGATAGGATCAGTATTGTGGTTGTTGTTTCTTAAAATGTACATTAGGAAAAATTTTTAATTTGATTCAGTGCGGTTCGACGCAACCAGACTATGGCTGAGGAACAGCGCTGAGAATGTTTGTGCAAAAAAAAAAAATGCCTTTACAAAGACTAAAAACAATGTTTTAATAAAATTTCTCTACGGGATAAAAAAAAAAACACTAAAATAAAATGTTCAGTCATATATGACTTTTATAATGCTTAATTTCATTTCCCTTTTGTGGTAAAATCTGTATCAGAAAATATATTGCACTTTAAAACAATTAAAAAAAATAAGATAAAGTTTGTTTTTTTTCTCTTTAGGGAAAAAATCTATGATTAAATCAAATAATAGATATGATAAATTTAGATTAATATAAGATTAAGAAATTGATAAAATAAAAAGTTATATACTGTATCACTTTTTATCAATAAATATTTTTTTAAAAATCAAGCTATAGTTTGCTTGAATAAAATAATCTAGAATAATATATTAATACAATAAAAGAAACGGTTTTATACATTTTATGCGACTTTTTTTAATATATTGTACAGCACAACTGAACGTACCTTGAAGCATAAAATCTGTACAAATAAAATAAAAATTGAAAAAATTAGATACAAATAAAATGATTTAAAACACTGAAATAAATTAACCATTCGGGATTATGACAGTCTAGTAAAATAATTTTATATATAATAAAATATATTAAAATAAGTTGGAATAAACCAGAATAAGATCAAATAAAATGTGAAGTATCACTTTTTTTTTGGATACAGTTCAATTGCATTTCCCTTTTGGGCAGGCAGCGATTATAAAATAGTAAAACTAAAATAGTAAAATATAATTTTGCAGTGTACTAGAGTAGCTTCAATGAAAAGTAGAAAATACCTTGTCTGTTTAACATACTTTGCCAACAAAGATGATTCGGATCTGTATTTTTGCTACATTTCATATACTACCAATTCATTCGACAACAGGTGCAGGTGTTCCTAATGTTGTGACCTCTGGAAATTCCAAACACAAATAGGCAAACATCACAATATTGTTACTGGCATTAGTTTTTGTCTTTCGGGTGAAGTAAAAAATGAAAGAAAATAAAGGGAAGAAACTCCTTGAGATACACTGATAACAATCGAAACTGTTGCCAGATGATGTCATCACTAGTTTTTGTGTTTTGTCATAATGATCTGGTCCAAATAGGTCAGGAAGGCCTCTCTATAGCGCATTCGTGAACTTCGCTTTTCATTCAATTTGAAGTGGATGTCCAATTACCGTCCCCTTTGCCCTCCTCCCCCTTCTATCGGTGCCATTCATGATGTTGAGGTGGATATCCATCTCCAAGAATCCGTTGTCCCGCCGCGCTGTCTCTCCATCACACGGCCGATTACACCTCAAACGTGAGACTGACCGGGACTAAATAAACAAGAAGAATAGAGACACGGATCCGCCTAATGGTCACCATTTAAATCCATTCACGGGCTCTCCATTGTGTCCGTATGCTCTTTGAGGCCCCCGATTATAGGAAGCCTTCAGTGACAAAGGTCAGAGGGCTGAGCAGACACTCCCACACCTCCGTGACCCGCTCTGATCCCACGACCCTGACACCAGGAGCCTTCGGGCCCCGCTCGCTCTCCCAGCTGGTTAACCGGCTTTGTCCCGCCTCGTTTTATGCCGCATCACTCACGCATGTATTGGCTCAAACGTTTCAGGGGACAGTAATTGGGCTTGGTCACACTGAGGAGGAATGATATATAAAAAAAAAAAAAAAAAAAATCCTCGTCTCACCCCTCGGGTGGTGTCCGTCCCTCATTCAGCTCGGGTCCTCTACCAGAGGCCAGGAAGCTTGAGGGTTCTGCGCAGTATCCTTGCTGTTCCCAGCACTGCACATTTCTGGACTGAGATGTCCGATGTTGTTCCCGGGATCTGTTGCAACCACTCATCTAGTTTGGGGGTCACTGCCCCGAGTGCTCCGACCACCACAGGCACGACTG